ACCATGTTATCTACATCAATCTCACGTTAGCTCAAAATAGTGCTCGCTGAGGTATATGGAACAAACCACACAGTCATTAGGTCAAAATGGCGGATTTCTATCCTTTACTCGTGCCACCTATCGATGTCTTTGAGACAACGAGAAACGAAGCTTCTCAATGGTGAATAGTCTTTTCATACAATTTAATCATCGATTTTGAAAAGTGCTGACATGCTTGGAGGCCAGTATCACAAATGACTGCTTCGGGCACCCAAATTGAAAGAGTCGTGGATCCGAGAACTTTGGTCAAGGCTGTCGCGATTATTTCCTCAGTTTCTGTGGCATTTTCGGTGACTTACCTTGTACTCTGCTATGCGTACGGCTCAAGGGGTTCAAGGGTCTCCAATCCGGATGCAATTGAAGATGGAGCCTCTAGCAAAAGCCAAATTCGGACACCTGTTTCCTACAACTTGCTGCAACAGTTCATCAGAGCAGTATTGTTGTCGTTAGTAATCCTAGGATATGTTCGAGATAGGTCTTCCAGCAATGTGGAGATTATCACACTTGCATACATTCTATGCCTGGACATTTTTCGAGTATATGTGAGAAGCATTAGAGCCAGATCGACATTGCTTCATCATATCAACTCTCTCATGTGTATTGAGGCAACAGTTGCCTTCATTCAACTTTCACCAGAACTTCTATTTTTTGGAGGCTACGTAAAAGCTAGCCTTTGGCTCTCCTTGAAGTTCTCAGTGGCACTTCTCGGTCTAGTCGTTGCATTTACCACCCCACGACAATGGATACCTCCGACCCTATCATTCGAACTAGCACAACGAGACAATGTACTGCCAAGTCCTGAACAGACATGTTCTTACTTCTCTTACTACATGTCCTACGGATGGATGACCAATATCATCTTGTTGGGTTCCAAAAGGCGTCTTGTTCTCGGAGACCTTCTCCCATTGCCTGATTATGATGAGCCACTCATATGGAGGGATTGTATACTCAAAGCTCGGCGAAAATTTAAAACAACATTGAAGACCCTTGGCTACACTCTCCGTCATAATGTCGGAACAATGGTCTTGTTTGCCGCCCTCACGGCAGTGGTTGAGTTCATTGCCCCATTGGCGCTTTATCAACTTCTAAACTATCTCCAAAACCCTACTATAGCTACTATCAGACCTTGGCTGTGGGTTGCATTACTATTTGCTGGGCCAGTCCTCCGTTCAGTGGTATATCAGCAATACATCTTCTCTAGCACACGGCTTGTGGTGAGGACAAAGCTTTGTCTGATCCAGGAACTGTATGCCAAAGCTGGACGGTGTTTTGATGCCGATACTGCTGCGAGTATACAAAAAAAGGGTGGCGAGACACTCAAACCCGATGTCATTGACGAGGAGATGAAAAAAAGTGTCCAGGGTAGTAAGTCTCAGAACGTTACGACCCTTATGGCCTATGATGTAGATGCAATCTGCAACTCAAGGGATTTCATCCTAGTGTGTACGGCCAGCCCAATTGAAATCACCATTGGGTTGGTCTTTCTTTACAACCTCTTTGGAAAATGTTCGCTCGTGGCTCTGGTCATCATGCTGTTCTCCTTTCCTATCGCCGCGCTTCTTTCTCGAATGATGTCTCACTTCCAACGACAAGTCATGAGAAGAACTGACAGCCGGGTCTCCGCCATCTCAGAATACCTATCGTCTATCCGAACAATCAAGTACCTGGGCTGGGAGCCCATAATGGCCGACAGAATCAATCAAGATCGCAGAGGTGAAGAGCGGATGACTTGGAGACGTAACCTCTCGTCTGTTGCGGTGGCTGTGATGGGCGATTTTGTTCCATTATTCGCCTTGTTCAGCATGTTTGCCACGTACACTCTCGTTCTGGGCCAGCCTCTTACTGCTGCCAAGGCATTCACGTCGTTGTCAATCATTGAAACCCTACGGTTGCAATTTGTGTGGATCGCAAACGTTACTCGATTCGTCTCGCAAGCTCTAGTTGCATTTGGTCGTATCGATGAATTCATGAATGGAGAGGAAGAGACAAGCCACCATGCAGAAGGCCATCCGGGCTTCCATCACGCCACGTTTCGTCGAGCTCTTCCAAAAGAAAGCTTCCGGCTGTACTTGCACGGTGATTTTGTTGCCGGGGGTCTCAACGTAGTCACTGGTGCCTCTGGCGGCGGCAAGTCGAGCCTCTTATTGTCATTATTAGGAGAGACTATTCTGGAAGGAGGAAGCGCAACGTGCCCTCGAGATGTTTCATACGCCTCTCAAATTCCTTGGCTTTTGAATAGCACCGTGAGAGCCAATATTCTCCTTCACGAAGAGTTCGACCAGGAACGGTATGAGCAAATCACTGAAGCATGCGGACTGTTACCAGATTTAGAAAAGTTTGAACTCAATGATCTAACTGAAGTCGGCGTCAATGGGTCAAATCTCTCAGGCGGTCAGCGGCAACGAGTATGTCTTGCACGTGCGGTCTATGGCAAATCAAGTCTATTACTACTTGATGATGTTTTCTCAGCCCTTGACTCGGCGACGCAGAAGCACATATGGGATCGTTGCTTCCATCAAGACATTCTGCGAGGTCGAACAGTCGTTTTAGTCACTCAAATGCAAGCAGCCAAGGATGAGGCAGATTTGCTTTGGGAGCTTTCTCAAGGCCAAATAGTGTCCTCCCAGAGGCGGAATAGATCTAACCAGGGGCACGGCCCTGCGATCCTACAATTACCTTCCCAGGTCCCATCCAGGAGAAAGGTTCCCACCCGCACGCCAGTCGTGGAAGTAGATGGCGTGAATTCTCTTTACCCTGAGGACATTGAAGAAAAAGTTAACCAGGAGATCGCTGGCCAAGGACGAAATCCAAGAACTCTCTTCTATCAGTACATGCTTCTTTTCGGCGGCCACAGCCGTGCCCTCTTGGCAATCATTCTTTGCCTTCTTTCCCAACTAGCATTCTTTGCAATCCCTCTCTGGTTGTCTGTCTGGGTTGGTGCGTCCTCACAGGAAGACGCAAAGGCTGTAGGGTTTTACGTTGCTATCTACGGCGCATGGCTAGGCTCTTTCTCATTGATGCAAGCCCTTAGCCAGGCGTGTCTGCAATGGGGTGCGTGGAAAGCCGCACACACGATGCATGAGAAGCTTGTGTCAGCGGCGATGTGGGTGTCAGTCCATTGGTACGATAAGAACCCTCCAGGAAGATTCATCAACCGCTTTTCAAGCGACATTTTCTCACTGGACTGCATTTTGGTCGACTATCTGCGAATCGCTGTCGACAACGCCTTTCGATTCCTACTCCGACTAACTGCAATCGGATCCATCATGCCTATTTTCGGTGTTCCAGCTACACTCATCTGTATTGTTGGTCTAATCTGTGCAGAGATGTACACTAGAACTCAACTCTCAACAAAGGCGTTGACATCAGCGTCTCAGTCTCCGATATTCTCCTTTTTCGTCGAGAGTCTCGCGGGTAGGGCAGTTATTCGATCTCGGCGGGGACTGCAAGACGCCTTTGCTGATAATCTCGCAAAACGACTTCGCCTCTATGCCAGAGCAGCGGAAACGCAATACAATCTGAATCGTTGGATCTGTGTTCGAGCTGACGGCTGCGCCGCCATCATTGCTTTAGCTACCGGCATCATTGCCGTGTCATATGGTTCGGAGGTTCCCGCGGGCCGCCTGGGCTTCTCCCTGACAAGCGCAATTGGTCTAGGGCAAACCATTTTAACCATGGTTCGTAATATGAATGAGCTAGAAGCAGAGCTGAACTGCTTTTATCGTGTACGCGAATACGCGTCTCTACCTCATGAGGAGCGTGTTGATGACAAGGACACACTTATGCTATTACCAGATTCATGGCCATCAGAAGGAAAAGTCGAGTTTCAGAACGTCACAGCGAAGTATGCCCTTGATGGACCGGATATTCTACACGATATTTCCCTCACAGTGTCGCCGGGTGAACGCATTGCAGTGGTGGGCCGGACAGGCAGTGGCAAATCGACGTTGGCCCTATCACTCCTTGGCTTCACTAACGTCACAAAAGGATCAATCCTCATAGATGGGATTGACATAGCAAGAATACCGCTTCGGGTTCTGCGTCATAGATTGACCATCATTCCACAGGAGCCTGTGTTGTTTGGCGGTGACGTGAGATTTAACCTTGACCCAGCACAGACTTCAACTGGAAGTCAGCTCACGGAGGCGATTGGTGCCTGCAGTGTTATGGAGTCGCTTTCTGGTTCTAGGAATAACGATGTTAGCGATATCCTTGGTGAAGACCTTCCGACACGGGATCTAACTCAGACCCCTATTTCGGCTCTCGATCTCGATACAATTGTCGCACCTCGGGGTTCAAACTTCTCTGTAGGCCAAAGGCAAGTGTTGAGTCTCGCTCGAGCAACAGTGCGGCGTTCGCAGGTGGTGATTCTGGATGAGGCCACGGCCTCGATCGATTATCGGTCAGATGCTGCCATCCAAGAAGTACTACGATCAGCTTTCAAAGGCAGGACGATCCTCGCCATCGTGCACAGACTATCTACAATAATGGATTACGATCGGGTCATCGTGATGGAAGCTGGTCAAGTACGAGAGACGGGATCCCCCGCGCAGCTATACCAACTAAAGGGGGCATTCCATGAGATGGTGAGACAGAGCATCAACCACGGAAAAGGCAGCGAATGGACAGCGGAGAAGCTTAAACTTCTTGAACTGTGAAAATTCTGAAGAAATCGAGAAATGATAAAGGGACAGAGAATCATCTGCCTACACAACCAAATAGTTACACAAAGTAGAGAAAATAAAAGACGATTCAATAACCAGATCCTATTTGCTTTTCAGGACCAGATGCTCCTGTTTATTGACATGAAAGCCCAGAAGTTTTACAGGCTTATATGGTCATAGTTGGTCTCTCATTACGTATGTCTAAAATCTATCCAAGACTTGTAGAAAGGAATGATCCAATGTCTAATACCCTAGGTACCCACCAAGAAGAGAACATACCCTAACTTCATCTAACCTCTACAGGCGAGCATAACCGGCTCGTCTATTGTAAATGGCGGTGGTGTTGGTCGAGTTCGACGGAAGGTCTGGGCGTTCGTAAACCTTGATATCCTTAATCCTCCAGAATGCATCGGCGAAGACGTCTGGGTTGTGTGCTACATAGTCGATGCAAGTCTCATATCCGGTAGCAGCTGCACATTGTGGGCCCCAGATATCGGGGTTGCCAGCTGTAACGCCGCAGAAGTCAATGTTCAGCACAAGTCTCTGGTTGGCAAGGTGGTCATCAAGCTTGCAGGAGGAACCACCGGCAGAGAAGTGCGGCAGTCCCCATGTGTCTGGGTTCGGCTCTCCAGCAAAGATGTCCATTGGTGCCTCGACATGGCTCCAGCTCCAGATTTTGACGGCCTTGCTGGTCCATTCCATGGCATCTATGATGAGGACGACAGTTAGTAATTAGCCTGAAATCGATAAGAGATGACAGTTGCATACAAATACCACCCGCAGCAGCGCCCCATTGACCTAAATCCTCGACTGTGCTACAGCCTTGGTTTTCGCCTTGGTTCTCGTCAGAGTAGTAAACGTCGCAGTTGAAGGTGGTGACATTGTCAAGCATGTCGGCTTGGTTGATGGTACAGGTTCCGTTCAAGGTCGAGTTGCCGGTATGGAGCGTGATCGCATTCGACTCAGCTGTGTTCCACTCTTCGTAGATATCAATTTCTCCAACATTTGGCCAAACATCTCCATACGCCCAACTGCAGCGAGTGAGACATATGCAATCTAAAGATGAGCCATGGTGAACTTACAAGGCAGGCCAGACTCCACAAGTTGGTTTAGGGAAATGTGTGAAGTCTGCAATGAAGAGGCCATGGTTGTACGAGTTTTTGCTTTCCAATCGGACGCTGTCTCGTCCCTTATCGCTGGCGTTGAATATGTCCCGATGATTAACCCCCAGAAACATCTCGGTGCCCTGGGTTGCAATCAGCCCCAGTGCCGCCGCGTCTAACTCATTTCTGTAGTTGACAAAGCCGCTGGTTGGATCAACGTCGTTGTAATTGCCCGTATCGAATTTGCTCTGAAGCAAGTATTAGCTTCGATGGACAAGTTGCGACTTTTCCCTGCTATGTACCTCCCAAAAGTTAAACTTCTCGAAAAAGTTTGTATAGTCATAAGATTCTGCGAGGTGGTACGAGTTCACAGAAGCAACACTGGCAGTATATGACAGGGCCGCAGCCAATAATTTCGCGGAGAAAGTCATGCTACCGCGGTCGTACAAGTCTCGAATTTCCCCACAAGTTCTTAAAGTAAAAATGCGCAATCCCCAAAGTGCGATATCTAAAATGAGTGACGAGAAAATGTAGGGAAACCACCAAATGAATGACTGAAAATAAAGAATGGACGAGACACCGTGATGTTCTTTCAAAGTTGGAATTCTTCGCGACCGCAGCCAGAGCGGGCGCGCGCATTATATTGCCCAAAGGGCAACGTGATAACAGCCCCATGCCTGCCCTCAGCCCGTACTAATCAGACTACAGCAGCCCCTAAGAATATGGAGTCAATTCGTGATACTGACAGCCAAGAAAGTTTTAATCCCGGGTTCCTGGTCTGTGTTTGGGTTGAAGAGACCAGCAAGGTAATGATCGGTCACTTGGTGGGCCTGTAATCCTTCCATATCCTTGGAGGGCTGCAGGTCATTCAGGGATAGCGCGCGCTGCGGCTCCATCATCCCTGGGTCGCTCGCCGAGGGCGGTCGTACCCTCGGTGCCCTACCCGTGTCTACTGTGTGGGATTGTGCCGTATTCGCTTGGATTGACTTGATTCGCACATGCATCACAGCAACGTCGAGACGACTGTGACAAAGCAAGGAAACTACTTGCGAAGGCCGAGGCATCCGCGACAGCAGCCCAACAGCCTCCCGAAATCACGGTACATGTACAGTACAGGTCAAGATCCCTTGATGATCCCAGCGTCTGAGTGACACAAGAGATTGTCTCCAGAGAGTGAATACGGCGAGAGCCGCCATTGGCTAGGGCCACTCCGACCCGACTAACAGCGACACATATCGATGATCTTAATTGTGCCTAAAACATCTCCACGGCACAAAACACCAACATTTCAAATTCAATATAGAGTCAACAGGCACCGATTTTCTATGCTGCGATGTTGTGCTTCTGCCTTGACATATTTCCAGTGATAGGAATATAAAATGGATAGACGAGTTCTCGTTTCGATCTGTAGTTGTCGTGACTGAGATGTCTCTGTTGAAATTTAAGGTACCGTTATTTATCAAACAAGAATCGCCCACTTAAGTGCCCACATAACCCACTTTAGGATGCATTCCTTGTCGTTCTTCACCATTCAAGTCCTCACAATCAGTGTAGCATCCTTCTCTGTCCCGCGCACTGGGACATCCAACTCCGGTGTATGCGTGCTGGTACTTGACGATGAGACCCATGAGCCGTACATCATCGACCCCTTCAACCGCCCGCCATGCGCGTGTGAATGTTTGAAGGAAGCATGCAGCTATGTGAGTGTTGCTTCACTCCATGTCCTGAGGCACCCAAAGAGGATCTCCATAGCCAATTTGATGAAATATATGCGCGCTCCCAGTCTTTGTAGCTAATTTTGGACATCATGCCAAGCCCGGCGATCCGGAAAGAGAATATGCCTGTTTTCATCTTCAATGGCCAAACGCAGAGGGTGACTTTTCTGACGCCCTCTTACGATATGCTATCTGTATTGGGGTAAGTCTTGTTCGGCTCATTAGGACGACTGGTTGACTGATACTCCCAATAGTCCGAGCACTGCGTTGCCTAGATTCAACTCTGCTCTGTTCGGTCATAGCTATCGTTGAGATGCTGGTTTGAGCTGCAGGATGATATAAGGTTATGCTTTCCTCCTCGATCCCCTCTGCACGGTTTCACGCGAAGACTTTTACATCCTATTAGAAACACAAAATACTAGCAAGATACATTGCTAGTTGAGTACTTGACACTATTTTACAATGACATTTGAGATTGCCTTTCAATCATGGCTTCTCATGACTGAACGTTCACGTATTCGCTGCACCTTGTGAATACACCGTTGATATGACCATACTAAGTCCGAATAATCCGATATAGGTAAAATTGGCTTAGACGTCGCTTGGTCTTCTGATGGCCTTCGACTAGTGGGGATGAAGATCCTCGTTGCCTTAAGAGTCATATTAGTGCTCGCAGAAATTCCACGACTCGCGAGCTATCCGACTGTCCACTCTTGTCGATAGATTAGTCCGCTCGGCCATAAGCTCTTCGCGTAACTTCTTCGCCTCCTCGAGGCTAATCGGAAGTCCACCTGTCTCGTTGAGAACCGCATCTTGGAGACCATTGTGGCCATCTGGGGCTTTACTCTCTTTGTTTGACCTCTCAGTCCACCAATGCTTCTGCTGTGGCGGCACATTTGCCGTTGAAAGCACGCGAGCCGCCGGATCCACGAGAAACAGGGCGAGGATCTTCCGGTGGCCCGGCTTTGTCTTGTCGACTAGCTTGAAAGGCATGACGGCGTGCTGGAATACGTTTGGGAAAGCAAGCAGCCTCCCTTCTTTGGTAAGAACCTTCCCGCGCTCCTGAATAGTCGCCTCGTCGTTTTTGGCGCCAAATATCTCTTCAATGCCCTCATAATCGGACTGCTCGTAAGTGAGATCAAAGGTGTTGTCAGCTTCGACGCGAGTACGAAATGCAAGGTGGCTGTCTGTAATATTTTCGTTGTCATAGTAGTACAGGGCCGTTGCACAGATATGCTCGTTTAATTGGCCTTCGATATGCCATGAGCCTCCGTCATATGTTGGCTTGTCAGGAGTGAGGTGAATGTTTGCAAGCTTTACAATAACCTGCAGCTTGTCTTTGGCTTCGTAGAGAAGCCCACCTTCACGTTTGATGTCTTCCGGAGTGAACGCCAGGGGCTGAGCACCGTATGCTCCAGGTTCCGGCCGAGCAATGGGATGTGTCTTGTAATACCACCCATAATCATCATCAAGGTCCTCATCGGTGAAGTTCTCAGCGTCTTGCTTTGGGCGATTGTACGGGTCGCAGTACTCTGTACATATTTCGGGGACGGTGCAATTCCTCTTAACTTCGTCGCAGTGTATTCGTTTCACTTCACATGGGCCATTAGTCCATTTCCAGATGATATGCCACAAAGGTACCGCTTTCGAGATCATCTCCTCGATGACCGTATACAGGCTAGAATGTTGAGTCGGGTGCAGGTTGTTGATGTAGCTGACGATTTGGGCGTTTGCACCGTCGCGGAACTCGACATTACAGGGAAGCCATTGGAAACGACGAGACCACACCTCAGCATCATGGCCAGACCGCCATGTGTAGTCCTCGGGGTCTGGCTGTAATGCATCCTCTTCAGAAGGCACAGCAGTAACTTCCCCCTCACCACAACTATCAAGGCAATTCTTCAGGTCAATAGTCCTGTCAGGCAGCACTCGAGACCTGCCGTAAAGCAATGGCCATAATGATGGATGGACGAGGTCAAGAACCTTGCCATCACTTCCGGGATGCCAGTCCTTTTCACTGTCTGGAATGTCTTCAAGCATCGAAACTGCTTCTCTGAGCCTGTCCCTGAGAGCAGGCGACACGATCTCGTCAGATTTGGCAACACAAGCTCTGTTTTCCAAGACAACAGTGATACCCGTATCTGCAAAGAACTTTGCCTTATCACGTAGCTCATCCAGACACTGTATCAACTGAGTAAGCAACTCGAGCGTTTCCCAAGAAGTCAAGGGTGAGGAGGCTTACATAGTCAAACATGCTATCCGTGAAATCACCGTTCTCTATACCAAGCGCCTCCCATTTCGCCGTCGACGCTTCCTGCCGCCACTTTGCAACAATGGCATCGTCGAAGACTTTCTCATGCCAGTCAGGCTTATCTGTAATACTATTAATGAAAGCAAGCATGCACCTCTCCCGAATGGTCTGGAACTGGTCCTGCCAGTCGATAAGAGCTGTAGGAAATCTGATCTCGGGCATGTAGCTCATGCACAGACCGAAGCCCGGGAGCCGTACCCGGCCAGATTCACCCGTCTCATCGGTCGCGGCTCGCATGAGGTCGCCGGTGAGCGAGTTCTACGAGAAATTTGTAAGTCCAAGTGGCTATAAACGGGGCAAGGGAAACGAAGAACCTTTATTTTGTCCGTGTCAGGCCAATGACTTGGAAAGTAGCCTGCAGTCAAGAGATTGGCCCGGTTTGGAGGAAAGTCTGGGCGGATGGATGGCCTAAGGCGAGGGCATGGCGACGACGTCCATGGTCTCAGTCTTGAGACGCGTCTCATGAACTGCAGGCCACGGAACATTTCCAACAACGGTCTGCACAATTGACAAAGCTCTTCACTGTCTCTCTTATCCCCAATCCTCGACTGACATGTTAATGTGAGAATTTTGGATGTCTTTAGCGGATCGATGATTGAAGCTGAACATAGACGCGTAGTGGCTTAGATGTTAGCGTCTTCCGCGCCGAAACTCGCCAAGCCAGGACAGTGCTTAGTTAACTACGCAGAGAGATCCGATCATCCTTGGTCCTCCTTATACGGCGATTGTTTGCACCTAGTAGACAATCTCCATCTGACACAATCATCGTTAATCCATCCACTTCAAAATGATACAGCAGTGTGTTCCATGATGATCTCAATTTTCTGATAGCATATGTGAAGCAGGCACAGAGACAGAGCCGGAGCTCTACTTTACTGCACAAAAGTCTCATTTAGGAAGAATGAAGCTGTCCCAAATCTATCTATCATACGAGAGGAAATGGCCCGGCATTTGACAGAATCCATAGAATCAAGCTTTTCGGAGCATTTACCCCTTCTACAGCAGTACATCAACAAATAAATAACCAAACAGCCACCCAATCATGCCGCGACATTGCTGAACGAGAAAGTTGGCGAGCCGGGAGTCGCTCCTTCGGCCGGGGAATCCACGTCGACCTCCTTGCCGCCATTCGTCAGGTCCTTGCCCTTCTTGCTGCCCTCCTCCACTAAGATGACCTCGACCGTCAAGAAGCCCGCCGAGCGCTTCAGACCAGGCGCCATATCCAAGAGGGTGCTCTGCTCGTTAAATGCCAGCTTGCGCGCCAGGACGACCGCAGGGTCCTCGCCCGCCTGCAGGCGCTTCTTCAGGGCCTGCACGAAAGGCATGGCCTTCTTCATCTCGCCCATCTTGGCGATGCGGCCGTTGAGCTCCTTGTCGTCGATGGAGCCCGCGCCCTTCCACACCTCGCCCACCAGCTCGATGTACTTCTCCTGCCACGCGGGGAACTTCTCGGTCGTGAAGATGGTCAGCTTCTTGGGCTGGCGCGGGTCGTAGGCGGTGGCCTTGCCCTTGGCCTTCCTCTTCAGCTGCGCAGCCTCGGCTGAGTTGATGCTGCTTGCCGTTGCGCGAACGTACTCACGCTCGGCAGTCAGGGCAGCTTCCGGAGCCGGCACAGTGGGGAACAGCTCGTACTGGATCGATCGTGGCTTGTTCAGGATCTCCAGCCAAATGTACTCGCACCAATGTGGTGCAATGACGGCCATGACCAGAGCCTGGAGCTCAATATATCTATAGATGAGATCCTTGTGGGGCTTGATACCGGCTGCGGTGCACGCCTCACGGTAGAAGTCTCTCGCACTGGTAAAATCGTAGTATGATGCCTTCAGGGCCAGCTTGTAGTTGGTCTGAGAAGTTGATTAGCGCCGATTTAACAGACTTGGAACTTGAACGGTGTTTTCGTAACTCACATCTTCGTAATTTTTTCTTGACTCATGAACCAGGGTGTTAAGCTCGTTGTTGAACAGCTTATCTTGGAATGAGTTCAGCTCTCCAGTTCGCAGTTCAGGATCTTTGACGATATCTTCGATCCATTCCTTATTGTTGTACCTATGAAACACAATTAGCATGTATCTTGACAGCAAAGCTCGAATCACGTACAGTCTCAGGACCGAGTTATCCGCAACATCTTCCTCAAAATTGGCATCGCTGATACCGTCACCAGCATCACTACAACCATCCATATTAGCATATAGTCTAGTACTAGGATCTGAATGTTCACTCACGCAAGGGCAATACGAGCAGCATCAGCACCATATTTCTTAACAGCATCGGCCAGCGTCATGAAATTGCCAGTTGACTTTGACATCTTGCTTCCATTCAGCAGCAAATGTCCGTTTGCTCGCACACCACGAGGCCAGTACTCCTGAGGGAAGAGAGCGATGTGGTTGTAGATGAAAAATCTGGAATAAGTCAGCAAAATTCGCACCTGCAGCATAGTTTTATGATACTCACGTCAAATGGTTGGGAATCAAATCCTTTCCGGACACTCTGAGATCCAGGGGGTACCAGTACTCAAAGCTTCTCCTCATCTGCTCCAGCTGCGCCTTCGGAATTTTAGACTTAGACAGAATATCGTCGCTGAGCTCTCTTCGGCAGAAGATGTAATCCCAGACCTCATCGATCATCTGCTCCGGCCCAACGTCTGCAAGGCCCTTCTCGCGACCGAACAGATCCTTGTGGAGGAAGTGGGCGATGGTATAGTATGACATATAGACTTTCATGGGTTAGCATATTACAGATGACACATTTCGGGACTTTGAAATCCTACTGGTGCTGTCTGACAGGGACTCGACAAGGAACTGCGGATCCCATGGCAGCTTGGATCCCAGTCCGTATGTCCTGGCGCATGCCCACTTGTTCAGCCAGTTAAGCACGCCGGTAAACTATCATATCAATATTAGTCATTTGCCATCGTTGGGCTGTGCGATCAGTGCAGCCACTTACAGCATGCTTGGTCTCCGAAGTGAAGGTGTTCAGGCCCTTGCCATCTTTGTTCTCAACCCACTCCAGAGCGGTGTCTCTCCAAGAAGGCTCGCCGTAATCCAGATACCACTGGTCCATCAAAGCGACGATGCATACATCTGCTGATCGACTCACTCTGCAGACGCATTAGTATGGATACCGCCTATGTATTAGGACCACGTACACTTTGTTCTCTGGCTCGGCATATGCGAATGCCTCATTGGCATCGATCAGCTGCTGTCGGACCTTCGGCTTCGCAGACTCAACGGACTCGCCCTTGAAGTCGCCCACCAGGAGCTTGCCACTGTAGTAGCCCTCCTTGTATGCCAACTCCTTGGCCTCGGCCAGGGGCTTGGTATCCTTGGGAGATGCAATCTTCAGCTTCTTCACCAGGAACGGGGCGCACAGGTTGCCGTAACTTGGAGTAGCAATGATTTCTGGAATCGAAAGCTCGGCCCACTCCTTCTTGATACCATAGTAGTCTGCCTTCTTTGCCAGATCCGTAACGGTAGCGTAGTCATCAGGGCTGTCTGATGGAACTGAAGTAACGACACCGGTACCCTTGGTTTCCAAGACGGTCTCCATGGGCAGGATATGGACCTTCTGGTGGATAGCGAGAGGCGCGTTCACTTGAGTTCCTATTATATCTGACCCGTGCTATTAAGAGCACGTCAGCACCACGAACTCCTAGTGTCCAATGTAGCCCTGAGTACAGATGCAAGAAATTTCCACTTACCAGATCAGCGACCTTCTGTGGCACGACAAAGTCCTTGTCCAAAATGCCTTGGAAAGCCATATTCCTTGCCGCGCGCTCTGTGATAACATAGTACTGATTTCCAGATGCCTTGTACACACCATATGACAGTTTAGGACCGACGAAGGCGCACGTTTGACCGTACATGCTATACAATGTGAGCTATACTTGCATTCAACCTTACTGCCATTCAATGCTTACGTTTCAGGTCGCAGAGTAGCAGCAACCAGGAAGACTGAAGAGTCAGCAGGCAGTTTGCCTTGGATTGACTCCGCGGCCTTTGGCGACCATTCAAGGACCTTGAGCTTCAAGGCAGTGTATTCTATTCCATCAGTGAGCATAATAGTGCTAAGATCTTGAACAAAGACTCGTACCTTGAGGACCAACTCCCTCGCCTTCTGATCTGTCGTGGTCCATGCATCTAACGAAAAAGTCAGCCTGCTGTGTTGCGATTCCGTACTCAACTACTCTTACGGCTGGCCATCCTTGATGCTGTAAATAGTATATCTCTTGCCGAACTTAACCTTGTTCAGCTCCTTCAGGCGGATCATCTGCCACCTAACAAAGGCATCGTAGTATGGATTCGCATCGGTGGTGACGAATTGCCTTCGCCAGTCGACTCTCGCACCAAAGTTGGTCAGGTCTCGCTTGCACAAGGGAGGGAAAAATTCCAGCCAGTACTACCACCACTCGTCAGCTTCTTTCGCAACGTCTCCAGCTTGATACTCATCATACCTGGGGGTCCGCAAAGAGGTGGATCTCCTGCTTCGGAATGCCAATCGCCTCCATGATTTGCCACTGATACTTGAGCTTGACGGTCTTTGCGGCCGCCTTACCCTTCTTGGCTGAGAACTTTGTCGGGTCCTCCTTGGTCTGCTTCGGGGCGGCAGCGGCAGGCTCCTCAACGACGACCTCCTCCTCTTCCGTGTAGTTCTCAAAGTCGCGGCCGAACTTGGCCACCTCGTCTGTGATCTTGTCGGCGCTGGCCTTGATGGGCATGCCGGTGCAGTGGTAGCCCAGGGGCCACAGGGCCCGCTTGCCCTGCATTCGCGAGAACCCGGTGGTGAACTCGATCTTACTAACGCTGAAGGCGTGGCCGACGTGGAGGGTGCCGTTCCTATAGCTCTTGTCAATTCCTGTTCGTGCCCGTGAAACCCCCCTAGTATCCCCTGTGACTCCAAGCAGGTCGGAAAGTGAACTAACATGTAGGGATACGCAATAGTTCCGAAGAATTTGGGGTATTTCTCCCTCAGCTGGGCGGCACTGAGCTCATTGAGGGCAACCTCCTCGATCGTGGGGGCGTCAGACTGAAAGACGCGGTCCTCCTCCCATTTGAGTTGGTACTTCTTCTCGATCGCAATAAGGGTGTCGCGCTTTTCGGTCTGGAGAGGAAAAGGGTGAGTCAATAAGTTATTAGAATAAGAAGAAGCAGCATTGGGTGAACGTACGCCTTTCAGCTCCTTTGTCTTGGAAATTGCCAGGGCCTCGATGGCCTTGGCAGCAGCGCTTGTCGCCATGTTCGTCTCTAAGTGAGTGCTTCTTGTATGTGGTTTCTCGCGAGTCTCTAGATGGAAGGCTGGGAAGGCTGAATCTTTATGCTCGACTGTCTCCTGGACAATTGAGTCACAAGGCCGTTGTCAGTTATCGTGGCTCGATGTTTGGCCCGTCTTACTTTCGCAACCTCGAGGGAGCGGAGGGTTGGGGTGTGTGGTCCTCGAAATAGCAGGTGGTGTTTGAAGGTGTTATTTTGAGTCACCCGAACCAAGCCGTCAAAATTTCTGTGACGGGGAGGTTTGGGCAATGCGTGGCGGGGCACGCGGGGTTCTTCCTCAATTACGGGACAGAGGGGCAGGGACACACGGCAAAATGCAGCAGGGCGGTGAGAGCACAGACACACCACACACCCCCAAGCTGGTCTGACCTTGTCACTGTGGCGCACGCATCTCAAAGTTCAGAGGCGTCCATCTAGCGAGACTAACAATTCTCACGCCTCGGGCCTCTCATATCAAATCTTCATCTCAGGCTCCCTTCTCACCACCGTCCATGCACCCACAACGGCCATTGAGCCAGAGTTAGCAGTTATCCCGGTCCCGGACAGCATCTCAATCGTCATGCTTCCCACTCTCATCCGGCGCACGGCAGCCGCCAGCTCCAAGACGCCGCAGTGGAAAATCCTGGCGGCTCTTCACCCGCCCAAGAAAGTCTGGCCGCCCGACTTCTCCAAGCTCACACACCAGGAACAGCTCCGGTACGAAAAGAAGTACAAGCGTAGGGTTCTGCTGGCCACGGCTCGGCCCAGATTCATCAAGTACACCAAGCTGGCTCAGTTGTTCGCGATCACATGTGAGTCAGGAGAGCTTCGTGTTGCTCATGCATGAGGATGTGCATGAAAGATATGTTACTAATCTTCTAATCCACCGTCACAGTTGTTATCGTCTATACTGTTCTGTTTATGGACTTGAGCACCGAGGGTCAGCCATTTGACGGTGTAAGCGCAGTCTCCAATGACAACAGAGATGGTTCACTGACAATGCCTAGTTCCGGAAGTGGTTTTGGGAGTCATTGGGATTCAAATACGTCTCGCAGAAGCCCCCTGAGGGCCGCGCGAAGAGGTTCGATCCCATCACGCGCACTCCATAGGTCCATTGATGCTCTCAATGGACCTCTGTATATCTATCCTGTCTTGTATATCTACATTGCGCATCAAAGCGGCGTCTCGGTTGGGAGGCATACCCAGGGCATATTATAGCGTAGTTCTCTTTGAATCGAGTTACACTCTCCCTCCTCGTTTGACGCGTCTTCCTATCCATCTTGCATCGGGTTGAAGAGTCGCCTGTGTGTTGACTTGCCGGCCAAATTTCGATGATGACGTGTCCCCAACATGATTTAGGTTTTTCTAACATCTCACAACTCGAAACCCTGTCATCTGGTGGTCCAGACGAAGTTGGCGCCCATGTTACCCAAGCCCGCACCAAGCCCAGACCCTCGACTCTCATTGACAGGCCTCTTCGCAACCGCGCCCTGCGCCCTCACCCCAGAGACTATCCTATCCAGATTCGTCTCAATCACCACGCCCCCCACAATCATCTCCCCCAGCGTGGCATGCAGCGTCTCAAAGTTGAAGATCAGGTCCAGCTCGCACACGTTCTCAAACAGCTTGTCGAGCGCCTCGACATAGACCTGGATCAGGTCGATCAGCGCGAGCGGCGACTCGGTCGAGGTGGAGATGATGATGAAGAAGAGCGTCGCGTAGTGGCGGTACGTCACGAGCGAGGGCACATCGTTGTGCGGCTCCGAGGAGGAGTGGGACGTCCCCGAGGCGGCGAGCAGCGGTGGCAGCGGCAGGAAGTTGCAAGACCCGGAGGGCCGGTTGGAGACGAGGGTGAAGATCTCGGAGATGAGGCGCTGCTGGATGCTGGTGTCCTGTAGCAAGATGGTTTCAGTATAAGCATTGCGCCGGCGAAGTCAAGAGAGATGGGTATGGAGACGAACCAGTTGAGTGTAAAACTTGGTCAGCCGCGGCTGGCCCTGGCCGTTGAAGACCAGGAAAGCATTGATCATTATGAGGGACCTTCTTCAACCGTACATAGTCTAGACGGAGAACTGAAGAGCGAGAAAAGAGCGCCCTGAAGAGCACCGAGCAAGTCGTAGAGGAGCACCCCGACTTGTTGTAGAGGAAGGCAACGAGCAATTGAACTGCCCGCTGTTGTAGTCACACACACCAGGCCGGGCGGGCTGTAGTGGGGTCGGACAGCCCGGATTACGTTTGTGCACAGACCATTGGAGGGCCGTTGGAACCTTGAGAACCTTGAAAGAGCTCTGGAAGCTCTGATGTGGGGCTCTAGACCTGCAGCTCCCTGTAATTATACCTTAACAGCTCTGACTGGACTGTCGTATACGGTAGTATCCTGCATCACATCATTCCCTGAACCTCTCCAATTCCAAACTCTCTCGTTCGACAAAGACGAAATCAACCTCCCGATCGTTCAATTCAGGCCATTCTACCTCCTCAGAATGTCACGAGCGTCTGTCCCCCGCGTTTCACGTCTCATCACTCGCAATGTGAATGTGCGACAGCAGAGCCTCTCCGGCCTGACCTCCCGCCGGACAGCCTCACTCCGGCCCTCGATCGTCCTCCTATCCCGGTCAATGGCCTCACAAAACCACGCCCGCTTCCTATCAACCGCCTCGTCACTCCATAAGGGTCTAATGCCCGAGTCCGACGACCCACCGCCACCACAGTCCGTTCCCGAAAGCAAGGCCGAGGCACACGCTGCCGAGATCAGCGAAGGCCAGTACCACGAGCTAGCGGACGAATACCTCGAGACGATCCTCTCCAAGTTCGAAGAGCTCGCCGACGAGCGGGAAGACGTCGACGTCGAGTTCGCCGTATGTTCTTCCCTTCCCTTCCCTTCCCTTCCATCCCTCTCCTTCTCCGTCCCTCCCCAAAGCCCCCAAATTTCCCTTGGAACAAAGCCAACCACTAACATCCATGCCTACCAAGGCCGGCGTCCTCACCGTCTCCTTCTCCTCCATCGGCACCTACGTGATCAACAAGCAGCCACCCAACAAGCAGATCTGGCTGTCCTCGCCCAAGTCCGGCCCCAAGCGCTACGACTGGGCCGTCGTCGGCGAGGGCCAGGACCAGAAGGGCGGCACCGCCGCCGGCGACTGGATCTACCTGCGCGACGGCAGCACGCTCAACGACCTCTTCCTCGAGGAGCTGGCGGTGGACCTTAGCATGCCCCAGCCCAACTACGGCGAGTGAATGACGGAGAGTGGACAAGTTTCTCGGAAAATTTTCAATTCGGAAGTGCACACTCCGATTTTTCAAGACGAGGGATTGGCGTTTTATTGCACCACGGAAGCCGGTCCGTGGATTGTATTCTAATGGCAAGGTCTACTATGGTCGCGGGAGTTTCTTGAAGATATCGCTGATACAGCCTGTTGGCAAAATAACTTGGACGAGAAGCTTTCTTTCACGTCTGAATCTACGGCATGATGCATCGGCTATACACTCCTCACAGCGGAGTTCAAGGAAGCACGTAATCACATGCAACTTGGGTTTCAACGGCAGCTTCATAGACATATATGAAGAGACACAAACATACTATACATTAGGTACTGTATGCACGCTAGAAAATGAGCCCCATCTCCCCTCAAGAGGAATGAATAAGAAAAATTCAATTTGCCAACCAATGCAGAGAAAAGGGGACGGGGTGTGAGTAAGAAGACACGGTGTAGTGGTATAGAAAAACATCCTTCCAACGGACGGCCCTCCTTCTATCCCATCCTATCTAGCTTGCTTGCCACACATGCATATGCAGATTAGGACTGGCTTGCCAAGTAGTTCGCCGCCTACGAGGGTTTAGCTAAGTGAAGGACAGATCGTCAATTCAGGGGTTAACTCACTCTTTCCAAATTATAATCGTACTTCTCGAGCGCACTCAGCGCATCTGTCCGGCTGTAGCCCATACTTGTGAGGTTCTTGAGAATTGGATCGTCATGTTCGCCCTCCTGAGTCAGCGCCCTACCAATTTCTGGCCGCTGGGCGCTTTCTTGCGCGGGGGGAGCGTTTGCTGTGGTGGGAGAAGCAGCCGGCGCATCGTCAAGGCTAGCGAAGATGGCGTCCCAGTCATGGCTCTCTGGAGGGTTCGGCCCCTTGCCTGCTACGCCGGCAGGTTGGGCTGTGCTAGCGGTAGAGGCGCCCAGATTCGAAGTAGCCGCAGAATTGCTACCCAGACTAGCGAAATCATAACTGCTGTCTGTTCCAAATGGTGCATTTGGCCCCGTAGCCCCAGACGGACCTGTTGTAGATTCACTCTTGATGGTAGACTGACTAGCGGGAGGAGAGCTATCAAACACCGGATTGAAGTCATCGAGTCCAGATCGAGAGATAGTCTGGAAGTCATCGGCCTCAGAACCTTCCTTAGCATCCTCTAGGTCTGCGAATTCATCGTCAAGATCGTCAAAGGCAGAGGGCTGCTTGGACGCCGGAGGTGGCGCAGGCTGGCTGGCTGCAGTGGGTGCAGTGTTGGTAGTGGTGCTCAAGGGAACAGGTGACGGCTCAGGGAATGCACCTGGTGGTGCCGCTGCCCCAAAGATATCATCTGCATCGGTATTCGGCGGAGGAGAGAGAGGTTTGGCACTAGAAACCGTTAGATAAAATTCCTGGACCTTCCGTCCGACACAAAGAAGCATTAATTCCACCAGACAAAACATACCTAGTTATTTCAGGAGAGCTGGTCGCAGGCACGGGTGTCCCCTGGTCAATAGCAGCCTTGGTTAAAGTAGGAGAGCTAGCTTGCGCAGATCCCTTTCCAGTAGGCGGGCTTGCTGGGGCAAAGTCGTCCTCGAATCCACCCTTGTCGTCGTCAGAATCAGACTCCTCGTCATCCCTCTCCAGCTCCGAGATGGGCGGAAACTCGGTGTTGAAAGCAGAAAAGCCTTTCACAGGTTCTGCACTAGACTTTTCTGCATTCTTTGCCGGGTTTGAGGCTTTGAAGCTAGCAAATGCCGACTCAAAGTCCTCCTTGGCCTTTGCCTGGTCTACAGCAGAGAAGGCATCAGATGTTGCCGTTGGAGCAGCATCTTCGGCCTTGATATCATTTGTGATGGTTGGCGCGCCAAATGCAGGCTCCGGTGCGACACCGTTGCTGGCGGACGTAGCTTCAGAGGCCTTCACTTCGCTCGGAGACGATGCTGACGCGAAGCTTTGACCTGTAGCTGTCGCCTCGAGGGGCGCGGCCGAGGGGGTCTCGAGAGCAGGGGTCTCAGGACCTAGCCTACTCATAGGTGGTGACACCTGTGTCGAGCTGGTCAGGGACTCGGTGGGATCGCCAAAGGGCAAGAAGCTCGGGCTCATCTGTCTCGACTCTGGCGGAGCTGGGGGTTGCTCAACCGTCAAGGTGGGCTGCCGACTCACATTAGGCGTGGTAGACGTAGCCGGAGTGGCAAACGAACCAGTACTCGTAACCGAAGTCCCTGTGTTCTGCGGCTTGAAGCTTGTAGCAGGAGGCGGAGTGCTGGACGGGAAGGATGGCCCAAAGACATCGTCAAAAGACTTGTCATTGAACGTCTTCGCGCCAGGGCTGGCAAATGCCCCCATGATATCCGTGCTTCCCGTCCTCCGGAAGAAGGGGTTGTTGGCGCTTGCGCTGCTAGGCGCAGGACTCGCGACTTGCGGCGGAGGAACGGCGGCGGGCGGTGGAGGGCTTTGACTAAGTTGACGAGCAAGCTCTTCGTTCTCCTTTGTTAGCTCTTCAGCCTCAGTCTTCAGTTTCTCCCTCTCTGCCTCATTTGTAGCAAGTTGCTTCTTGTTGATCGCAACTAGGCCCTTTTGCTGCCGGGCTTCTGACCTCAATTTCTCGATTTGAGGTTTCAATGCAGCAACCTCTGCATTGACAGCACGAATGCGCTCCTTGAGGTTTGCGTTCTCTTGCTGATCAGCTTGCAAAGCAGCAAGGACGGTGCGGTGTTGGTTCTGCAGGTCCTGGTATGTTCCATCGAGCACCATCATTTCGCTTGATATCTTCTTGGTGTCATTTCGTGCATTGGTTAGTTGTTCCTGCAGAGACCGCACATCTTTGGCTTCTTTCTCATAGAGGGCACGTAGCTGCGCTAGACGTTGCTCAAAATTCTTCTTTTGAGCGCTAGCCTGGTTGAGTTCGTTCTGGCTTGCAGACCGTTGACCCTGCACATCTTGCATTTGTTTAGACAAAGATCCAATCTGGTTTGACAGATTGGCCAGCTCGGCAGTGTCGTTGGTCAACTTCTTACTAATCTCCGGATCAGCGTCTCCTAGCAGATCATCAGAAGCAGATGGTTGGGCAGGTGACGGTCTCGGGAATGCACCTGCGGAACCTTGCGAGTCTCCGGTGGCTTGGGGAATGATACTACGGCCAAAAGATGACGATGGAATGAATGGCTTGAAGGTGTTATTGGCTGTTGGCGACGGCCGAACAGGCGATCCAGGGGCGACTGGGCTGGCAGCACCTGCAAAGTGGTCGTTCGGAGGATTTGAGCTTCCCGTCGCCATAGCACTCTGTACTGGAGCTGGCGGTGTAGGAGAGGAATCCAGTCCAAACAGATCATCCAGAGCAGATACAGGCTTCGGCGGCGGCGGTGGTTGCACCGGTGCTGGCTGAGGAGCCGGGGCATCGAAGGGCCCTGGTGCTGTTGCTGGTGGAGGCCGTGCCAGGCCCCGAAGGCTAGGGGGCATGAGATTTGCCGGCAGGGTCGCCGGGAGTGTGTTCTGGCCGTCCCTCCTGCTCCGCTGTTGCCGGATCAGATACATAGCAACGGCAAACTCATCCTTGTTCAGGCGGCCCTCGCAGCGGATATCCGCAAGATCCCAAATCTGAGCTAATGTGTCCTCGGGAAGATTGCTTTGGCTAAGAAATGGGACGGCCTCCTCGCCAGTGATAAATCCCTTTCTTGTCTTGTCTAGATCGTCGTACAGGGCATCAAATCGAGTCTTGTCAGCAGGAGTAATCAACCACGCATCGCCAGTTGACTGCGAAGCTAGAGGTGATCGAACATGTGCACCGAGAGGGGAACCGGTCCGCATCTGCACCTGATGACCAGCCTGTCCACTGAGTTGCCGGGGAATAGCTGACAACGGTGCCGTACCCGTAGTTTGAGGGCTTTGTGGCCTCGCACCAGCAACCGGGCCTCGTCGGGTCGCCGCTTCGTAGAGAGCTGCAGGCAGTATAGTAGGCAGGCCCCTTAGTGTCCCAGTCTTCATGCTTGTCAGCAAGTGCATAGCAATCACAAACTCCGTGAGCACTAGTGCACCCCTCTGCTCCGTATCGGCCAGCTGCCAGATGCGTCCCAAGACCTCGTTCGGCAGTCCGGACTTCTCAAAGATCTGCTTCGCTTGGTCCCCTGGGAGCAGGCTGCCAGCCTGGAGCGGCTGCCGCTCAAACAGGCCGGCGTATTGCGCGACTTTCTCCGGGGTCAGGGGCGGAATCCGAATAGGACCGTTTCCTGTGCCCTGTGCAGAGATCGGCTGCGCAATAGGACCGGTAGGGACTGGGGCGAGTGGTGGGGGAGCGGGCGTGAAGCCATCGAACCGCGGGATCGGACCCTGTTGAAGAGCTATCTCGGGAGTGGGCTCGCGGCCAGCCTGGGCGTGGCCGATCAGGCGCAGGACGATGCCAAAGCCAGCGGGGGTAAGGAAACCGCGGTTCTCTTTGTCTGCAATCTGCCATATCTGTCGTGTCGATTTGTGTCAGCCCGTGCCTCCCGAGAGCATTTCCCAAGTTGAGCGCGTATGCCGCTGTAAACTGACCTCGCCCAGTACCCTCGAGTCCAACCTTGTCTTCTCAAAGAACTTGACGGCAATCTCTCCCGTCACGACACCGACATTATCCGTGTCTGCTTGCCGAAAGAGCTGGCCGTAGACTCGCTTCTCTTCAGGCGTGAGATTGAGGTTCGGCGCCCCTAGAAATACGAGCATGTTGTTAGCGCCTCGAGGCCTGCTGGCTTGGACTACTCGCGGGCGCAGAGAAAGCCCAGAGCAGCTGTTATTGAATATACACACCTGCGTCGACAGTGCTGGCTTCCGCCATCGTTATGATGGAGGCCTAGCAGCCAAGCTGGATGTCGCAAGCTGTCAATGTGCTGGTAGCAGCGGCAATGGAAGCTTCGGTCGGAGCCTACACTAGCTTGCGTAATGCAGCAGTCAATTGGGTGCCTGTGCGATCCCTCAGATGAGGCCGGGATTGTCTAACCAGCAGGTTCTAAAAGGGCAGCAGTCGACGCAATACAACTCGGAGGATGCAGGCAGTCGAGCTGGTGGACGTTGATGACGATGTGTTGTGTTTCTCGGCGTTGAAGTTCGAAGGCTGGGGAACCAAGTCGCTAACTGAGTTGAGGTAAGGTCGTGGTGCAGATTGGTGGTCGTCCAGCTCTCTCGCTGTTAGTTAACCAATATTATCCACCTCCCCGGTCTAGTAAGCTCCGGGTTCGATGCTGGCAATGCTGGCTTCTGCACAGACGCCATGGGCGGAACAAGCCGACGAGCGGGAAGCAAGCTGCTACCAGATTTACTGCAACTCAGCTAACGTTAACTGTAGGTCTTGTTAGTTAGTTAAACCTTCCCTACCTGGAGTGGACAGTGCGTCCTGTCTCAGTCACGCGGGACGGCGGCGCCTCCTGATGAACACTGGCACCAGTCAGGCCGCAGCATGCAGCATACTGCAAACCTACCGGTACTCGTCTGCCCGTTGCAATATAACGATTGGCGCAGGCACATGTACGGCATGCCAGAGCTGCATATCCACATATGCGGAGTGCGTCCAGGTGTTGCTACCCAGCTCCCTAACTGGTAGGGGTTCTCAAAAGACACCTAAGATGTAGTCGCTCCATACGCCCCTATCCCAGCTTGATTGAACTCAACCCGAAGATGCTGTATCTGTATAGATCAAGCTTGTACATCATCTACCTTCCACCACATGACTACGTATGAAGTTGACAGTGAAGCCACATTGTATTACCCAGTCAATCAAGACATTGTCGTACGGAGGCCAGTTTCAGCTATGGCATGTTTTACTCCCAGAAAGACTACAGCAGGAGGGAACCTCTTTGATCCATCAATATCATTTTATGTCATGATTAAAATCTGGCTATCTCCATTCTGACTCCAACAAAGAAAAGAAGACCATCATCTACTCTCCCACGTTTCAATGTCCACCATGCCCAGATGACGGACAACAAGTAACTTGTCAAGAGAAAGATAGTGGCCTTGAGAGACTCGGCGAGCGTCACAGGGCGGGGTATGTCCTTCAAGAGAGAACTACGCATTCGCAACACGGCTCCAACTTTAGTACTCAGCCTCGATATCACCCTCGTCACCCAGCGAGTCGGTCGCAACCTCCTCGTAATCACGCTCCAGAGCAGCCAGATCCTCACGAGCCTCGGAGAACTCGCCTTCCTCCATACCCTCACCAACGTACCAGTGGACGAAGGCACGCTTGGAGTACATGAGATCGAACTTGGAGGACAGAGCAGACCAAGCCTCAGCAATGGCAGTGGTGTTGGAAAGCATGCAGCTAATGCCAAATTAGTCTTCGTCATTCATCTAGCAGAGAGGATTGAGATAAACTTACACAGCACGGTTGACCTTGGCCAGGTCGCCGTTGGGGACCATGCGTGGGGGCTCGAAGCAGATACCGAGCTTGAAGCCAGTCGGGCACCAGTCGACAAACTGGATGGTGCGCTTGGTCTTAAGAGTAGCAACAGCGGCGTGAGCATCCTTGGGGACAACGTCACCGCGGTACAGCAAGCAAGTTGCCATGTACTTTCCGTGCCGGGGGTCGCACTTGACCATCTGGTTGTTGGGCTCGAAGCAAGACATGGTCATCTCCTGGACGGAGTTGGCCTCGTGGGCAGCCTTGGCAGCAGAGATGACTGGTGCGTAAGCAACCAGAGGGAAGTGGATGCGGGGGTACGGGACAAGGTTGGTCTGGAATTCGTTCAGATCGACGTTGAGGGAGCCATCGAAACGGAGAGAGGCAGTGATGGAAGAGACCACTATGAAAAGAGTTAAATATTTTTTCAGGCAAACAGCGGATCATGATACCATACCCTGAGCAATCAAACGGTTCAGGTTAACGTAGTTAGGACGCTCGAGACCGAGATTTCGGCGGCAGATGTCGTAGATAGCCTCGTTGTCAACCATGAAAGAGCAGTCGGCGTGCTCGAGAGTGGTGTGGGTGGTCAGGATGGAGTTGTAGGGCTCAACAACGGATGTCGCGGTTTGAGGAGCAGGGTAGACACAGAACTCCAGCTTGCTCTTCTTGCCGTAATCAACGGAGAGACGCTCCATCAGCAGAGCACCGAAACCAGAACCGGTACCACCACCGAAGGAGTGGAAGACCAGGAAGCCCTGGAGACCGGCACAGCTGTCGGCAACACGGCGGATCTTGTCCAAAACCTGGTCGATAAGCTCCTTGCCGACGGTGTAGTGACCTCGGGCGTAGTTGTTGGAAGCATCCTCCTTGCCGGTGACCATGTACTCGGGGTGGAACAGGCTGCGGTAGGGGCCGGTGCGGACCTCGTCGACGACATTGGGCTCAAGATCACAGTAGATGGTTCGGGGGACGAATTTGCCCTGGCCTGTAAGATGAAACAGTTTGTTAGCGGTTGACAGGAATTACAATGATTGATGTCGAGTTGATGCCTACCAGTCTCGGAGAAGAAGGTGCTGAAACCATGATCAGGGTCAGCGGCCTTGCGCTCCTCGGTCAGGTAACCATCGGGCTACACAGCGTGAACGCGTCAGTACATATCACACATATTGATAACGGAGCGCATCAAGACATACCTGGATACCGTGCTCGAGGCAGTAAAGCTACAATGAGATCGAGGTCAGTGATTCGAGGGTCTATCAAATTGGCCAATCCTAGTGGGGCGGCGGGTGTGCATTGTTGAACTGGCCAAAAGTGCCCAGCAACAACGGCCAAACAGTGTGAACCTTACCTCCCAGCAAGAGTTGGCGATCTGGCAACCAGCCTGGCCGACTGTGAGGCAGAAAAGTCAGTATACGGGTCCCTCGGCAGCTCGATGTTGGTGGTGTGGCCATTATGCGGTGAGGGACGCGCCACGGTCGGGAAGAGGGCGATAGTGCTCACCGTTGATGCTGATAATCTCACGCATGTTTGCAGCTGTCGGGGAGAATCCTGCAAGTAGCTTCGGGGAAAGGAATTAGAGATACAGTCGAAGCAGGTCGATACAAGACAGCCCGAGTGTTTATTGGGGGATTTGGTGATGATGAGGGTTGAAGGAGAAATTACTGCAGCCTGGGACTGCAGGGTGCACTTTGTGGTGAGGTGGGGGGAAATTTGTGCTGGACAGGGGCAGAAGGGGCAGAAGGGGCACACACGTCCGTATCAGGCGAAGCGTCCCTGCGCTGCGCTGCACGGGCGTCGCTTTTGTTGATATGACGGTTGCCCCCTTTGGACTAAACCGCGTCGCTCTTTCCCTCCCCCTTGTAGCGCGTTATGCCACTTACCTATCACTCCCTCCACAGAGGAAGAGAGACCACTATTAGCCTGTTACTGCAGTTAGCGTTAGGTAAGCAGCTCTCCCTCGTCAACAATGGCTGCGCCATACCGTTCGTGTGGGGAAGCGAGGGAAGGCACCACCCCTACTACTCGAGTAAGACAGGTCTTATCGCCGAGTGCTGGTTCGGGCTGATAAACAACATCAACATCAATAGATTTCCATAATGTTCATCACTAGGCAGACATGTTCCTGGCGTTCAAAGGTCTCTCACATCAAGCAGTTAGGCAGACAGATAAACACAGCAAACCAAAGCTTGTCATACCAAATACAGCTCCGGAGTTTTGCTCAATCATTGGCATTGCCATTCAGGCGGTCAAGCAACCCGGGAAAAAAATAATGCTCACTCAAGATTCTGGTTTTCACTAACTCGAATAGGAGCGCAACCTCCGCAAACTTACCTTACTCATCAATGTGCACTTGAGAACTCCTACAAGTAGACGGGCCTCCTTGGAATAACTCTAGCCCTCTCGGGCCCATACATTTGTCATCTACCCAAGTCTACCTCGCTATCAAGTCACACCTCTCCTCGTGTCTCTTCGGCCTCACTTGCGTGACCAACCAATTTCTTTGGTGCTCAAGTCTCTTGTCCCATATCGAGACTGTCTCTCTCGATATTTCGATTAGGCTTTTCCTCCTCCTTGTTCTTCCGGAAATTCAATTTCTCCCATTTCATCGCCCAAGATAGCAGCGTACACGTCGTACCAGCCGCCACAACCAGATGGAACGGCGTCTTAATTGTGCTGGTGACCGAGGCATAGACGAGCTCGCGAACTGCAGGGTCAAGCTCGGCGAATAGCGGCGATGCCACTCCACCCAGTGCTTCCCTGAGATCCTTGTCGCTAAACCCCAAGTCTCCAACGGCCTGCTTGAGCGATCTCATGCCCTCGTTTTGAAACACCGATCCTTCTAGACCGACTGCAATGGCAATCGTACCCAACATCGACAGGTTCGCCAGGCATGATGCGGCAAAGACTTCTTCTGTAGGTAGGCTGACGCTCGAGATGCTCATAGCGTGGCTGTAGATTAGTCCAACTCCAAAACCAAGCAGTGCCTCGAACCCCATGATTTCCCTTTCCGAGGCCGTCGGCTTCATTTGTGTTGTGATGAGTGCACCACTCGTAAGAATGAGAGGGCCAGCAATCATGTAGAGGATCTTGTATCTTCGAATGACCGTCAACAAGACGCTAGACAGTAGTATTGAAGCAATGAAGACTCCAATGAATGGTAGAAACCGAACGGCAGTGCCAATCGGGCCGTGTCCACGAGTGAATGCGAAGAAGACAGGGAAATAGTACAGGCCGACAGAGTATGCAAGGGCGGCGCAACATGTTCCCAAATTTGCAAGCCCGACTGTACGATTAAGGACGACATGACCGGGAAATATACGCCTGGCCCGTGTTGTGAAGAGGCAGAAAGCCTGCTGCAAGACATAGGCGATGAGGAACAGTCCTGCAAACACCCACAGCGTTATCGCTCCCGCTGATTTCCAAGCGAAGACGGAACCAGATAGGGTGAGTGCCACTGGCAGGAGGGTAAATGTTCCAGCGTGAAGTACAGCACCCACCCAATCAATCTCGGCCAGGCTCTTCAGGATGGACGAGTCGGTAAGTCTTCTCGCTCTGAACGAGGGGAAAACGAATACAGAAAGGGGTAATAGCACGCCCAAAAAGGGAAGCATGATGTAGTACGCCTACAATGATGAGCATATTTCTCTAAAAAGCAGACACTTAGCAGACTCACCCATCGCCAAGTGGTGTGTTTATTATCAGCGAAGCCAGATCCCACGAGAGGGCCGATGAAGAGTCCTAAAGCCAAAGCGATGCCCGTCATTCCCTGGGCTAACGGGACATGAGTTGGCTTGCTGAAGAGCGTGATATAACAAAATACTCTGATAATCATTAGGAAGAGATTACGCAAGGTATTGAAAAACGTAATGTCTCACATATGAGTTACCCCAGCGGCGCCTACTCCATTAAGAGCTCGGCCAGCAATGACTGCACCGATGTTAGAAGCTGAGCCAGTCACAGCTACGCCAACCATAAAGACGACAATAGAGGCGATCATCATGGCCCGGATGTCGAAAATCTCAGAAAGTCGCCTAGCGAGCGGAACCACGGCGGCAATGCCAACGCAATATCCAAGGGTGATCCAGCTGAATATTTCTATGTGACCCATTGCCTCATAGATGGTCGCTTGGATGTTGGCAGTATTGCTTAGATCATAACCTATTATATTGTCAGCCAGGGGGTGTTGTTGAGCTTGCTCTAGTCTCTCACCATTAATCATAGCCAGGATTAATATCACAACAATCATACCCCTCCATCTCGACGGTGGCATTTCCTTGCGTTTTAGGAGAGCCTCTACTAGCTTTTCTTCTGGTATATCTTTGCTCTCTGACTGCAGCATTGGTATCGGCTTTCTTTTTATGGCGGATTCCTCATGCGAAACATTATCTTGATCTTGGTGAATCAAAGTTCCGTTTTCCAAATCTGGCTTTTCCTGGCTGGATGCAGTCCATACAGCCGGCGCGCCACGGCGATCAGCCGGAGTTATTGGGCTGACTTCGTCTGTTTCCGGCATCTTGTTATTACAACTCTGACGAAAGTTCAGATCATGGCTTTGAACTGCCCAAGGGTGCTGTGGTCTCGTTGAAGTCTTTTACCAATCCTGGCAAAGAAATCTAGAAGGAGAAAAATTGAGACGAAGCAAACAAAATGGGTATGTTTTGTTTGCCATTCATGTGCCACAGGCCTACGTCGTGTCAGCTAAGGCGTGGCTGACTGACAACGGCGAGCCGGGTATGATCCATTGATCCACAATAAGACCCGTATATGGATCACCAACAAATGGATTTGCACCGCCTCTCGTCAGATTGGACATTTCTAAAAAGGGCTGACAGCTTACCAAATATCTACTAAAGGCCGCTCATCTACTCTCCTCGCCGCATTATGACGATTTACGGAAGGCGATAAGGCGAACTGTGCCAAAATCATTTTTTGTCAATGCATTCACCCCACAGTACCAGGGTGTACGTACTTTAAGCCAATAGTATTCAGTTGTTCAATAAAAAATAGACACAATTGATTTAGAGGATGATATTACTATAGTGATTAGCCTTAGAACTATATTATATAGGTTGGATTTTGAATTATATACGAATATACATGATTTTTCAAAGTTGTATAGAATCGTACAGATTCTTAAGCATCTATATAATGAATGATAATAAAGATATCCTAGCTTATAGGGATAAATATCCTCATATAGGAGTAAATAAGTCTTATTCTACTATTGTAAGCGAAAATCTAAGTTTTTCTACCTGCCCTTGGTGTGTACTTCCGTTATCTATCGTATATGACCTTACTTTGTCGCCTGAACAAACTATACCTCTTCAACCTATCTGTGAAATACGTTATATACGAACAAACTATCCTGGGTTGACAACTTTTGTATCTTCTATACCTTTGACCATTGAAGAATCGCTTAGAATAGCTAATAAGGACTGTCTATAGAGTATATAAGAGATAAAGAAGACTATATAGTCGTTTATAGCATAAGTCAGACTTTATTTATACTTAGTAGATTTCTATTAGTTAGGTTAAGGATTTTCATATAAGAAATACCATCTTATATAAATATATAAGAAATTCAAAGCTTATACAATTGTACTCGACTATATATATAACAGCTTTAAGCAATTCTACTTTATACTGTTCTGATCATTCAATATTGAAGAGAAGGTTTTAAAAGAATAATAGACTTTAGTAGCAAAAGTGACTGTTGGAGACAGTCTAAGTGTCATATACTTTGGTATAGAAGTAACTAAGCTTAAATCGCTTCGAAAGATACTTGATTTAGCTTATAAAAATCGTAAATAGCCTCCTTATTTTCTACAATTTATTATAAAGAAGGAAATTCTGATCCTACAATATAGAAGACCTAAGGCTAAAAGCTTAGAGAAACTAGACGATAATATATAGGATTCTATATTAGAGATCAATGATAATAGCTTATAAAAAAGTATGAATAAAGCTAAATATAAAAGGTAAAGTAGGTTAACAGCAAATATAATATCTATAAATATCAATAAAGCAAAAGTTAAGGCTGAGAAAGTAGGATCAAAGTCAAACCCTTATATAAAGAAGGAAACTATCTAAAGAGATGATAGTAAAAAGAAGATTATAGCTAAAAAGATCAAGGCTAAAATTGGAATTATCCTAATATTCAAAGAAGACGAACCAATAATATAGTAAAGTACTATTAAAAAGGAATCGATTATATTTAAGATAAGTATATGCTAGACTAATTATAGTCTTAAGAGGAAGCAAAGTCATTAGGATATATTAGGGTTTAAAGATAATTAAATAAAAGAGAATTTTAACGTATTAAATATAACCAATATAGATTAAGTATGATTAGATAAAAACAACCAAGTTACTAGCTATTTCTTTAGATATAGTTTAAGATAGTCTCTTCTTCAGCCTCTGATTCAACATTAAGGCTAGTTAACTTTATTTCATTTTATTTAAAAAATTGCCGAATATATTGTTTGCCTTCTGACGTTGATAGGAGAAGTATAAGCTTTAGCTAAGCTTTTTAGTCAATATACTATCGTAATTTATACTATAGAATATTATACTAAGGAAAGTATAGATTATCCTATTAATTTTCAGGAATCTGCAGTAGAATTCTATCAAAAGTCTTAAAGATATAGTCGTAGATTTACTTTATACTAGATAAAAGATACTAATCAAGGTCAATATTATCTTAGTCAACAATATTCTTAAGAGATTTCCATCACTTAAGGTTTAATAAGACTCTATAGTCTTTTACTTTAACAAGATTAAGCATATGATAAAGTATATAAAAAATCTTAGAAACAATATACTCTTTATAAGTTTGTTTGTAGATAAGATAAGCATTCTAAAGCTATATAAACCTAGCAAAGTCTGAACGAAGCTATAGTATATAAATATATAGTAAGATAACTTAATCAGCTAAGTTATTAGTAAAGAAGAGATTATTTTCTGATAGTTAAAGAAAGTATTTCTTTTTACTTATTAGTATACTATCTTACAACTTTATAAAAGACAGTACTTATATGCCAAAAGAGTGTATACCCTTCATATAATCAGCCCTACCAGCTTTCAATCTTAATATTTTGTATACTCTTTCTATATATTTAACAATCTTTAAAAGAGACTGTAGATAAAGATAAAGAGTCTGAGTCATCATCTAGAGACTTAATTAAAGAAGATTCAGTTAAGTACTCTTCTATAGACAATTATATATTATTGAAAGAAGATGGTTAAGGCTATTAAAATCAGATTAGCCTTAGTTCAGCAGATATAAGCTAGTAATAAGCTCCTACTATAAGTAATGTTTCTTTTCCTTAATCTGCTTAAATTTAAGCAAGTATAAAGCTATACCAACCAATAACATTAATATACTAAGCTAAAACAGATCGTACAGTCAAAGCAGATACTTCTATATAAAACCATACAATATATTAAGAATATACATTAATTCTAGCATAAATCTTAATTCCCTATTATTATAATTTACAATACCTATCAATTAACCAAATATAGTTTAATCCATCATAAATCCAACCTATACAACGTTGATAAGCCCTCTATCAACATTATTCAATCTCACTTAGATAGAATTTGCAATAAATCGTCTATAAGGAATCTTATAGAATATTAAATAGTTATTGTCGAACATATATATAGAGATAAGTTCTTCCTATATTATATACCAAGTTATCTTAAGTTAATTTAGTCTCAAAATAGCGTCGTACTTTAGTGATTATCGATTAAAAAGCTTTTAAATCATTATATCGACAGAATATACCTACTTATTTTCAGATCTGGAAAATACTATGAAGAGATATTGTATACCCTTTGTTACAAAGGTATATAAGTAGTTGTTAATTTGATAAACCAAATTCATAGAATATTAATATTATCTTATCTTATAATTCAGAAGATAGCTCTATATACTTCTGACGCCTAAGCCTCTATTACTGAATTTGGCATATCAAGGTATATTTTTGGAAGTTTACTAGTATAAAAGTCTGAATATATTCATATACTTTAGTAATTGTTTGGCCATCCTCTAATAGGCTTTTTATAGTATCTTGATACTAATCAAGATTGATTGACAGACGGCCAGGCATGATCAATATTGATTTACCAAAAATAAGCCTATACAAAGTTGTAGATTTAAACTTAAGAAAAGATTTTGTAAATGAAGATTATCAAAAATGGCTTATATAACGAAATAGCAGTATATAGGCACATATATCATAGTATAAGTCAGTATAAAGCCGTTTTAAAGAGTATGAGAATAGTATTTTCCCAGCGTAGAGGTATCATCTAAAGTATAATGTTGTAAAGATAAGCAAAGAAAGCAAAAAAGCAAGATTTTCCCTAGCAAGTATATTTATTATAGTAGAAGTTTATATTGAGCCAACCAAAACTAATGAGGTTATATACTAGGCTGAATAAAGCTAAACAAAGATATATAGAATTATATAGAGTCGAAATGTTATTATAACGAAAGGATGTTAACCAAATGGTTATATACTGGCTTATAAAGGCCTAGTACTCATCCATACAGTCATCTATATCGTCGTATATAATTACTCGTTATGGCATATCGTTAACTCATACTCTATAGCATCTTATAAAGCTTGAAAAGCATTGTTACTTATAAGACTAAGGAAGTTAGTCTCTAAAAAAGTCTATATAGCTAGAATAAAAGACTATATAAGCTTGATCTTCTTAGAAGGAAAGTTATACTTAAGAAGAGACTTTAGATTATCATCATCATAAGCATGTTTAGAAGACTTTATAGTAGGCTTAAATATAGTCGAGACTATATAAGTTAGTATAGATCTATATACTATTATAGAAACTATATCAACTTATAAGAGTATCTCTTAGCCTATGAACGAAACTGACAGTAGATGTATATACTATCCTAGGTATGACCAGCGTTGCTTACACACATATGAAAAGGATTATCAATACGTATGTTTCTATAATTATTATAGCAATCTATACTAATATATATAAAGTTGAACTTAGTTTATATTAGCTTATATGATCTTGTATTAGACTATAAGAGTTCTTATGTTAAATGTCCAACATAGGTAGACATATACTACTGACAATCTTTCTTAATTGAGGGTATAATGATATGACCATCCTTGTCAACTATAGACTTAAGATCAATCTTATATATAAGAATCTATATAAGCTTGATCAGTACTATATTAGGGAAACTGAATGATAGAAGTATATATA